ATGGCTTGGTAAACTTGGGTAAACTTCTTATCACCTGTCACTTAGGTTCTCCCTCTATCACATGGGAGTAGTATTAGTCCTTATTTCATAGGTTTGTTTTGAGGATTAAATGTTTAACCTGTGAATTGTGTAGCTTGGTGCCTAAATGGAACCATCATCACTCAACAGAAGTTAGCTCTTAGGATTGCAGGGTTCACTGCCAGGCCTCTTTGGCTATACTTTTCCCGTCTTTGCATTCAGCAGTCAGTATTTCATTTTTACGTATTCCAGGACTCACCTTCAAGTTGGGCACTATATTTTTTAGAGATTCTATTTGTCTGCAATTTCTAAACAACAGTATTTTATTAGGAACTTTCAGGCAGGGGCTTTCAGCTAGGTAACAGGGAGGCTTGGAGATACTGATATTTTGGATGAAGTATTTTTGAGAGTCTGTCTGTTGCTAGCTAAGAATGAGAGCTTTCCAAGAGCCCGCCCCAGAATTGAAACAGCAGGAGCAAGCAGGTGCCCTTAGGGTAACAGTTGCTCTTAGCCTCCCTACTCTGCAGTCCCTTGGCCCCTGTAGGCTTGCGGGCAGCACCAGCAGTTCCCGGGAGCAGCTGCAGTGTTTTCTAACCCATCTGAGGGCAGCTGGTTGGAAGACCCAAACACATAGGATGACAAACTGAGAGTAGCTCATTGGAGTCAGTAGGTCATACCCAGCAGGTTCCTCTCTGGACTCTGCCTCCCTTGTTATATCAGCTGTTGCAGCCTGTTAAATACTTGCAGTAGGGATCCCTCTGGGCTCCCCATAGCACCTGTGCTTTCCCGATTTGGGTGTGCGGAAATAAGATGGCCCAGCTGATAATTAACTAACAAGATGAGTGCATATTGCTTGGATTTTTGTTGTCATGGCTGCTCTCTCCCTGCTCTGTATTACTGAGTTACAGGAAGAGATGTGTGCCCTTGCTGTTTGTTAATGCACTCACTCAGGGAATTCCCAGCAGCAGGCATGACTAGAAGCCTTTTAATATTGAAGGACTTTGGTGTCAGGTTCATGTACTTTTATCCTTTGCCCACATCAGGGTGCTGTATATAAATCGGCAATAAGAGGAAGGGCAGGTTAACAGATTAGGAATGACTCTGTTTTCACTGAGAATTGCACAGAATGACAGGCGAGGCAAGTGAGCACAGTTGTCTAGTGCCCTCGTTTCAGTGAAGCCACGTGCACATTAGCAATATTTATTGATTTTGTGCCCTTCAGTTTACCTGAACCCTGTGTGTTCTTAAGTCGGTGCCTTTGAGATGCCAACCAGTGAGTGCTTTCGTACCCAAGACAGTGGGTAGAGAGGCCAGGTTGGCATTGAAAGTGGGTGTAGTATGAGAGGTAGTCATTAAATTTTTGAAATTGCAACCCTGATGACCCTCCACCGCCTAAAAAAGCACACACAACAATTTTTTACTGAAGGCAGTTTTTATGGGTTTCCTCCGGCAGTTGATGGTAACCGTAAACTTGTTAACTCAGAATACTGGACCATTTATGGGTATACATTTGTCTATAGAAATACAATGTGGGACAGTTTAGACTTGTTCAACAGCTACATTGGAGGAGAGTGATGATCATTTACTTTACAAAAGGAAGCTTATTCTAGTAACAAAGTTCTGCATGAGTTTTCATGAATGTACCTTAAAAGAGCAAGGTACTCTTTCTCCCCATCTCAACCTCAGTTCTGAGAAGAAACACTTGTGATTCTTTTGGTGAGGGTATTCTCCCTCATGCCAAGTTGCTGGAGTCCTTTGTGGGAAAAATGTACCACGCTTCTTCTTGAAAGCAGATCTCTGGAAAAGAGAGAGTGGCTAAAGGTCAGGTTTACTCATTTTTCAGATTTCCATAAAAATTCTTTCTGTAAACTGAACGCTGGAGGTCTCAGGGTCTGCAGTGGATCAGCTCCCCATAGCGTGATGGCAGGTGCAGGTAGGATGGTGAGGATGTTGGGGTGAACTGGGACACAGTGAACTCACCCTTGTTTCTCCTGACTTGGTCATGGCCCCCTCCTTAGATCTTTTGGCATTTGGGATCTGTTGATGCTGGATCAGTTGGATGTTGGATCAGTTGGAGTGGAGAATGAGCTAGTCCATCCTCTCTCTGTTGTTTTGACTTGTACCAGCTTCATTTCTCTTACTGTGTCCTTCTGTCACAATGCATTCTTCCTCATCCGTTAGTCCATTTTCTTTTGCTGTCAGAGCCTTTTGAGGAGATTACACACCTGGTGTTTTCTGGAGGGTGAGGGAGTATGTTTTGAAATCATTACTCTGTGACCATCATAACTCTGTCATTCACACTGTCTACACTAAATAATCACTTTTGCCTGAGATTTAGATCCCATTTTATTTTGTCTCTGGCGTGCCTAAAATTTGAAAGTGGCTCCTCTCCCAGCCTCTTTCCCCTCTCCTCTAGCTTAAATTGTCGGTTCCATTCTGATACCTAGTTTATCTGATATCTAGATGCCTAGTTTCCCTGAGCCAAGTCGTCTTTCTTACTAAATGGGATGTTGCTGTGTTTTTAACCTGCTATCTAGGTGATAGGAGCTCTGGTGGCTCAGTGGTTAAAGCATTTGGCTGCTAACCAAAACATCAGTGGATTGAACCCACAAGTTACGCCATGGGAGAAAGATGCGGCAGTCTGCTTCCGTAAAGATTTACATCCTTGTAGACCGTACAGGGCATTTCTGCTCTGTCCTTTTGGGGTGCTGTGAGTCAGGATTAACCCGCCGGCAGTGGAGTTTGGTTTGGGTTTTTGGTTATATTTTACTCTGAGTACTCACATTATCTACTCATCACCAGCTTTATTGAAGCTGCCTTGTCTGGCCCAACACTGAGAGATGGTTTTGGTTTTCAGGGATAAACATTTGTGAAAGGGATTGAGACTTCAAAGGGTGGCTCTTCTGCCTGCTCGTAGAATGAGCAGCTGCCCAGGGCTTTGCCGGAGCTTGGTTGCTCCAAGGAGAACACTGCTACCCTCTGTTTTTTCCTTTGCTTGAAGACTTTTGATTCTAAGGCGTTGTTTGGAAAGTGAGATTCAAGGAAACTCCTTGTTACCAAGATTTTCTTGGTGACTGAGAAAGCTTTGCTTGTTGCTGCTTAAAATACCGCACCAGCAGTTCTCTTTTTGTAGAAATGGAGTGCTTTCAGCCATGAGGCTTTCTTGCTGCAGTTGGGATTGCCAAGGCTGAGGGGAATGCCGCCAGCCCTGTGCATTCATTTCTCTGTAAAGTTTTGGCCTAGTAGGGCCAGAATGGCAGGACTAGGCTTGAAAGATGACTTATTGCTGCTTTATCTCTCTCTTCAAGTCCTGGGGATGGACCATGTGGAAAAGGAGCTCTAGCTTCATATGATGACAGAGTTTGGCTTTTCTGTCCTCTTGGGCCTTGAGAGGCAGAAGTGGCAGTGTAAGCTAGCTGTTCTGTGTTGACACCCCTCCACTCTTCCCCAACCCCATTTGGAGTACACAGTCTTTGAAACTCTAATAAGGAGGAGACTACCCAGTTCCTTATAACTGTTAGGGTATGCCCTGATTAAAGACCCCCTTTTTCTTTTCTTCATAATTGAACCCAAGCCTTAAATGCTTCATTTTACCAGCAAAGAACTAGACACTTTGCTTGTTCTCCCCCGCCTCCCTCATTTATTTGATTTATGGCTTGGGGTCACTGTGAAATCAGTGGGGTATATGAATTGCTAGGGATTTCACATATCCAGGAACTTTTCGGAATGTGCTGGAGGTGGAATCCCTCTGAACCCTGTGTTTAAGGAGGCGGTGCTGGGAAAGGACTTGTGTGTGTGCATGTGTGTTCAGTGGGTGCTGCATCAGTGTACTCAGCTACTCTTGTTTATGGAGGAAAGTAGGGTCAGAAAATCTCCAGATCATTTGTTTGTCTTTGAAACATTATCTGCCTTTTGAGTTTAGGGTTTAATTTTATTTTAATTTTTAACCGTTTTCTCCAGAAGATTTGTTTTGTCTTAGACTCAAACAAATTTGTACTTCTAGAGCCTTTAGCTACCAGTAGGGTGGGGTGGGGACCAGAGTTATGTGGAAGGGACCATAGGGATTGATTGTGGGGAAGATCTTTACTATAGCACCTTTTGGGCAGTTTGTGATTGTTCCACCAGAGGGCAGTCAAGGAACAGACAGGAAGTAGGATTCAGACCCAAGAGCTGGACAGGACAGGGTTGTCTTCAGTTCAGGAGAAGGTAGACAATATTCATCATGAGGTTTGTTTGGGTCTTGGCTCCCCATGTGAGCACAGATGATGGTGCTGGTCAGGTAGAAGCTTCAGAGTCTCAAATTCTAGTCTGTGAAGGTGTGATCATTTCAAACCTGAGGCTGCAGCTTTTAGTAATGATAAAATTCTGAGTTCATGCCTTTAAACAAAAGTTTGTGCATGACCTCTTTGACTCTAAAACCAAACCAAACTCACTGCTGTCAAGTTGGTGCCAACTCATAGCGACTCCTCCTTGGTTTTCTGAGGCAGTATCTTCACAGAAGTAGATTGCCCAGTCTTCCTTGCCTTCTGGTTAGCGGTCAAATGCCTTAGGCACTACACCACCAGAGTGCCCTGTCTCTGACCAGCCTGTCTAAAACAGCCCCCAGTCACATACTTAACGCGATACTCTGCTTTATTTTCTTCCTAGTACTTCTCTATCTGAAATTACCTCGTCTGTGGTCTTCCTTGCTTGTGTCTTGTCTGCCTCCCCTCCCCCTCCCCGCTGTCTCTCTAGCTGAGCACAGTGAATGTCTGGCACACGCACGCACTCGATAAATATTAAAAGGAAGCAGTGTTTGCCAGGAATAGCAGTAGCTGTTAAGGTATGTCATGGTTTTCTGTTTATGTCATGTTTGCTCTCTGAGAAAACGGAATCCACCCAAACCAGTCTTTTCTGGCCTCCTTTTCTCAGCTTAGGTCCTGACTGTTGGGAAGAATGAAGGTGAGTGGTTTTCTGAGTCCCTTTCCTCTCCCCCACTCTAGCTTGCCAGCAAAGCACGGACAGAGAAGGAGGAGAAGCTGAGCCAGGCCTATGCAATCAGTGCTGGTGTCTCCCTAGAGGGCCAGCAGCTCTTCCAGACCATTCACAAGACGTGAGTCGGGGAAGTGCAGGGGTGCTTGTCCCGGGGTGGTGCTGCCTGGTTGTGCTGTCTGGTGACTGACTGTCAGGTGGTTGTATTCCTGGAAGTCCACTCAGTATGCTGGGTAGTGTGTTGACACTATCCTGGGCATCCAGAGACATGGATGTTCACCCTGTTCCACACAGAATGGTGTAATCATGGACATATCATCTTCTCTGTGCTTCATTTTCTTTGTCTGTAAAACTTAGTTTTGGATTTGATTATCCCTAAGGTCTCTTGTGAACCCGTTGTTGTTGTTAGGTGCCATCAAGTCAGTTCTAACTCATAGTGACCCTGTGTACAGCAGAACAAAACACTGCCTGGTCCTGCGCCATCTTCACAGTTGTTGCTGTGTTTGAGCCCATTGTTACAGCCACTCTGTGTCAATCTATCTCGCTAAGGGTCTTCCTCTTTTTCTCTCACCCTCTACTTTACCAAGGATGATGTCCTTCTCCAGGGACTAGTCCCTCCTGATAATATGTCCAAAGTATGTGAGATGAAGTCTCGCCATCCTCGCTTCTAAGGAGCATTCTGGCTGTATTTCTTCCAAGACAGATTTGTTCGTTCTTCTGGCAGTCCATGGTATATTCAATATTCTTCGCCAACACTGTAATTCAAAGGCATTGATTCTTTTTCAGTCTTCCTTATTCATTGTCCAGTTTTTGCATGCAGATGAGGTGTTTGAAAATACCATGGCTTGGTTCAGGTGCACCTTAGTCCTCAGGATGACATCTTTGCTTTATAACACTTCAAAGAAGTCTTTTGCAACAGATTTGCCCAATGCAATATGTTGTTTGCTATCTTGACTGCTGCTTCCATGGGCACTTTCAGACCTAGTATTCCATAAGTTAGAACTAGTAATCTCTTTCTTTCTCTTCTATTATTTTGTTGGTAGAACTTTCTCTCAAAGCTATTACAGTTTTATTAAGCAAAAGTTAAATCTTTCTTTCCTTCCAATTGTACATTGCGATGAACATAGGGGACTACCTAGAGGGAGAGCAGAAGGCCACCTTTTTACCACTTCCTAAAAGACATTTTGTCACAGCAAAAGTCATTTGACTCTCCACTGGCTGGAAAACTGAAGCGTTTCACAACCCCCCCCCCCAACTGCCTTCTGTTACCCTGTTTAATTGCCTGGGTTTGGTGCACAGAAGGCAGCTGGCATCAGAGCTGTTTGAGGCCATGGTGTATCTGAACGTTCACAGGTATGTGAAAGCACTCTTAGTAGAGTTAGCTGCCCTAGGTTTCTCCAAGAGTGAACTGGAATGTGTTTTTCCAGTCTGGCAAAGTACCCAGCTGTCTGATAATTGAGAGGGGCCAGTTTATGGAGCAGCTTCTACTGTGAGATTGGGGGATGGAGTACATATTATAATAAGATAGTTTGTTCTCCTGTCTTTCTAAAGGTACCATTTCCTCCTAGCCCAGGGGTTGGCAAACGATAGCCAACAGGTCAAATCTGGTCTGCTGTCTGTTTTTGTAAAATAAAGTTTTATTGGGATACAGCTACACTCATTTGTTGTGCGCAGGCAGTCCCCTGGTTATGGACAGGTTCTGTTCCTAAGGCTTTCTTTCTTTGAGTTGAATTTGTATGTAAGTTGGAGCAGTTGGGTACAGTTGGTATCTATTGTCAGTCAAATGTTTGTGTTAGTATGTAGTATATAGTGTACCTTTCTATGCATAAAATACATTAAAGGTACACTTCCAGATACACTGAAATATCTTTAACATAATAATAAAATAATCATAACGTTTGCAAAGTAGCGTCCATTAGTTATTATGAATTATTTTATGTGTTTTGACTTTTTACTATAATAGGTTTGGCGGGGTTGGTTCATAACTACAGATTGTATGAAAGTTGGCCATTCATAACCCGGGGACTGCCTGTATTGTCTATGGCTGCTTTTGCATACAGTGGTGGAATTTGGTATTTCTGACAGAGACCATGTGGCCCACAAAGCCTGAAATATTTACTGTTTGTCCCTTTGTAGGAAAAGTTTGCCAACTCTCTAGCCCTAGGCTGCTATCTAAGTAGAATCTAGTGGCCTGAGCCTAGTTGTTTATTTGTGACTCAATTTGATTTGGACTTCTGGAGCTGCCATCACGTTTTCTCTGGTTTTGTAGATCCTTACCATTTCAGAGGAGCTCTACTAGGCCCTCCTTGGCATAAATGTGCCTTGGTTTCATTGCTTTTCCTAGTCAGTGGTGCCCAGGAAATGATTTATGGCTGCTCCTCTCTATGTGGCTGCTGACATAGTTGTTGGCTGAGTGGGGAACTGGGACTTGGGGCCAGCTTTCTGGAGTTATTCATCAGGCAGGAGGTGTGGGATGTGCCCGCAAGAGGTAACATTTCACCTGTTCTCTTCTCCTTACAGTATTAAAGACTGTAAATGGCAAGAAAAAAACATCGTAGTCATGGAAGAAGTTGTTATTACACCCCCATATCAAGTGGAAAACTGTAAAGGCAAAGAGGGGAGTGCACTGAGCCATGTACGCAAAATAGTAAGTAAAGGAGCCGTGAAACTTCAGAGAGAGGATGATTTTTTTGTCCTTCACCATGCTAGCCTTAGGGCAGGTTTGGTGCTATAATCCCTGCCATCTCTGACACAGCCAGCCTGCTAGCGGCACTGCCTAACCCATCCTGCCTCCCAGCACGTGGGGCTCTGAAGCTGTGGCTCAGATGCTCATCCTATAGGGATGGAACCACTGGGCAGTGTGACTAAAGCAAGCAGTTGATACCATCTCCTTTACAGTGTGTCTTTTTGGAATTAGCCTGACTATCCCATTGTATAGGAGCTCTGGTAGCGTAGTACCTAAGGCACTTGACTGCTAACCAGAAGGCTGGTGGTTCAAACCCACCAACTGCTCCTCAGAAGGAAGGTTGGGCAATCTACTTCTGTAGTGATACTGCCTCGGAAACCCAAGGAGGGGTCGCTATGAGTGAGATCTGACTCGATGGCACATCACAACAACAACATCCCGTGGTATAGGGTCTGAGCAGTTCCTATCTCTCAGCTGGGTTCTTAGCCACAGGTGCTCTTCTAGGAAGAGCAGATTGGTATAAATTCATTGCCACTGGCATCTCTGTGACCCTGAGTATTTCATCTGACTCTCTAAAGTGAGTTACATCATTTGTAAACACAAACCAAGAAAATCACTCCTGCTCTTTTTCTCTCCGAGGAACATTGAGAAACCAACATGTGGATGTAAAAAGCATGATGATACTAACTCCCCACTAGCTCTTCATTCTGCACTTGTATGAAGAGGGAAGGGGGAGTTTGGATCATAATAATTTCCCCTCTTTCTTTTTCTTTCTTTTTTTTTTAATATTTTCGCTTACAGAGTCAAGTCCTTCCAGCCAGTCTTAGCTGAAGCTGTTAAAAATGTGGCTGAAACAAGAGACATCTACCTACCATGTGGTTGGGAAGTCCACTAGACAGTAAGGGCCAAGATGCCTGAGCAGTCCATGGGCTGAACAGCCAGGTCGGGGCTGTTGATGCCTGGATTGGACTGTGGGGGAAGACCTTGCTTTCCCATCTTCTTTTCCTGACCTTGGCTGCCTGGTCTCTTTCAGGTTGAAAAACATTTTAGAGACGTGGAAAGCCAAAAGATACTGCAGCGTTCACAAGCCCAGCAACCACAGAAGGAGGCTGCCCTGTCATCCTGAGTCCACACATCTGGAGGACTCTTCCAACAGCCAGCCAGGAAGGCGGTGGTGGTGGCTTCAGCGGAGGCAGGCCGGGGGAGGGAAGGGATCCTATATTTCCTGTTGGCTCTTGTTAACAGAGGGTCAGCATTTCCAAATCTTAGACTTGAACAAACAAAACACCCAACAAAAAAGAACAAGAGAATAATTTAAGAGTTGAATCATTACTTGACTAACAGACTTCAGTCCACCATGTCCTTTTCACAGCCCCCTTCTGGAACAGTCACCTTGTTAATTTTATTTTTGAAAATTCTGTTCCTTTCCTGCTTTGCCCTCTTGACTTTCCTTTCCTAGTCTGTTCCCTGTTAATCTGTTTTTATAAGTGGCTACACTTGCCTTCTCAATGATGGAAAGAAACTTTTACATCTTCTCTTCCAAAATAAAAGTAACAAGCTGACTGTGATACTTAAGTTGAGACCAGCGCAGCAGACAGAGGTCTCACTTTAAATTTTTATTTTTATTTTTATTTTTTTCCTTTTTCTCCCCCCACCTTTTTTTTTTTTTTTTTTGCACAGGGCATGGCTTGAATTAGTTTTATTTTTCTTAACTTTAAATATATATATGAAAATATATATTAAAATGTTCTCTAAATATTTTCTGCTTTTTGCAGGTCTCTTTTTACTAGATCATGGCCGCTCCTTCCACCTCATCCCTCTGAAAATAAAATGTATTGTCCTCCCCACCACCTGTAGCCAGGCACCTAACTGGACTTAGTGCACAGTAAGAATCTCCTGCAGCACTTTGTAGGGCCAGTGTCTGCAGATGGAATTCGGGGTTTGAGGGTCCCTGATGGCTTTGTTGTCTTTAATTGTGTATGTATCAGTCTCACATTTGGCCACAACCTCAGGATTCTCCCTCTGCCTTTTGTCTTACTTCACGGTACTAGAAGAACCTCCTCATCTCTCTCCTAGATAAGAGAGCCAGCTTCCCTTGCTTCTGTGCCCTCTGCAGGAAGAACTGTTTTGCACGGCATAGCTCAGCTCCTCCTTCTTGACGGATGACTTTCTTTAATAAGGCACCTGGAGTCCACCCCCCGATCTTTCTTGAAATCCATGTCCAGAGCCATTAGCTCAGGAAAAAGCTTGGGTGACCTACAGTTTCTCTTTGCCTGCCAACCTCCTACTTCTGTGGTCCTCGCCCCTTAAGTTTTATAAGCTTATCATAGTTTGTATGTGCTCAGCTGATGGGCAGAAAGCCTGGAAGACTTTCTAGCCTTTTAGCCCACCAGTCTGGTTTTGACTAACCTGCTGAGAGCTACATCTGGCACCTAATGCCCCTGTGCCTTTAGGCAGTCATGTGGGGCAGAGGGTGCCACCGTTAGAATATCAGGCACCAAGTGGGATGTGGGTGATGCTCACGTGACTGGCTAGAGGTGGGCGTGGGGGAGTTAATTACTATTTTTTGGCCATGATCTCTTTCCCCTTCCTTTTTTTTTTTTTTTTAATTAAATAAATGGATCAAAATTAAATAATTCAAGCCCTGCCTTCAAAATGAATTTTTTTTTAGTATTGTTTAGCAAAAACAATAAAGCCCAAATTTTTTTAACCATCACTCATGTCTCAGGTTTGTGCCTGCTTTGGAGGCCCTGGAGGGAGGGAATCCAAGAATGTGTGTGTGGCCTTTCCCTTTAGATTCTCTGCTTCCTCATCTTTACCCTCTTTCTATTCCCTAAGGACTCACCCAGAAACACAGTATAAAGGGTATAATTACAAGATGGGGGTCCAGAGTGTAGAGTTGGATGTAAGTGGAATAAAAAGAAAAAAGGGGGTGGGCACATACATTAGACCATTTGTTATAGAACTATGTTTGGAGCCAAAATGACAAGAGCTGAGAAGTAAACTTCCACATCCACCTGCCATTGATCAGAACTTGAATAAAATTACCAAGCCTTGGTTTCAGTCTACCTGGAAATGTACACTTTGGGAGAAGGTAAAAGAGGGAGAAGAGGAGACCTGTAAGATGTAGAAAACCTAAGAGGTAAGATTCAAAGAGTGAAGATGATTTAATCAGTGGAAGTAGCACACTTGGGACAGTGAGGGAGCAAGATCTAGTGTCATGCATCCCACGTCATCACTTCCGTTGCCAGTTGTCTCTATAGATTTATGGGGGGAGTTAAATTGGATACTGCTGTTTTTGACAGGAAGCACTTTTGACTCTTAAGTTGTAGTTTCTGAAATGGTGCAGGGGAACTTTAAGGAATTTAAGAGGTGGAATAAATTTGCTTAGAAAAGCAAGGCAGTGGGGTCTAGAAGAATGCACAAGGGCTTTGAGACATCAGTAGTTGAGTTCAAATGCTTGTACCTCCATCTCCTTGCTTTGTCACTGTGGGTAAGTCATTTCATCTTTTTGAGCCTTAGTTTCCCCGATTGTGAAAGTGGAAATAATACCATCTCCTAGAATTGATGTGAAGGGTTAAATAAGATATCTAAAATTAGAAGATGCTCTGTAAATGGTAATTTAAATGTTAGCTTGGTCCTGGGATCTTTTAAGTCTGGAGCTGAGATTAGATTGAATGGTTTCTGGAGACTCCAGTTTTGCTTTGGAGTCTAGATGAAATTTTAAGTGAGGCTAATAGTAAAACATAGATGAGAAGAGTAAGTTCCACTGAAGCTGAGTGATATGTCCAGAGTACAACAACTTCCTGTGGTGGCAAAGGTGGAACAAAACTCAGGCTTTTTCCACTCGTGGGCTCCCAGTGCTACTCTTGTGCATTTCCAAATGATGGCATGAGTAGTGCTCAGTTTTATTTGACAGGTTTTAGATGGAACACAAAGGATATTGTGGAGAGTCAGATAGTGTGCCCCTGTAGGTCGGAAGAATGTTGAACTCTTAAGAATGTGGTGCAGAGGACTTGTGTCTCTGATGAAACGTGCAGATAATTTTGCAGTGTCTCCTTGGCTTTGGGGTATTTGCCCTCCTCCCCAATCCACACATATATATATCTCTACAGCCTGGTACCTGCTTAGCCTCCACCACTGTGCACACAGGCCTTTGGGATTATTGCTATTTAGAGCATCCAGTCAGTAGTATCACAGTGAGTTGACATTGAATCCACTGGTTTTTAAGTTGAGCAGCTTATTGATACCTGTTTGGCATTTTGAAAATTGCTCAAGCACTTCAGTTTAGTTCAGGGGCTCCAACCTGAGAAGCACTGATTCAGGGTAAAGGCTGAAAATGTGTATGTCAGTGTTTTCACATAAGACATAGTGGCAAAGGAAGGAGTGTGTGTGTTTGTGTGGAGGGGGGATTGCAGTCGCATACAGAGAAGACTCTCCTGGCTTGCTTGACATGGAGGATACAGCTCAGGGTACTGTGGTGAGAATGTGATGCTGGAAGCTTAGGTGCACAGGATGGGTAGGGACAGTGGAGGGGGCGAGAGTTTGGGGGTCTGAGGATGGTCATTTGGGTTGGACAGTGGTTGTTCACGTGGTAGACGTGCCTTCGCGTCACTACTTGAGGCCACTGGTGCCATAGGATTTATGGGGGGAGTTAAATTGGATACTGCTGTTTTTGACATGGAATCCCTCAGGAGACATGGAATCAACACGCACTGCCTGAGTTGCAGAGGGTGAAGGCAGTCACAGGAGGAACCCCGGTGACACAGTGCTTAAAGCACTTGGCTGCTAAGCAAAAGGATGGCAGTTCAACTCCACCAGCTGCTCCATGGAAGAAAGATCTGGCAGTCTATTTCCATAAAGATTTACAGCCTTGGAAACCTATGAAGCAGTTCTACTCTGTCCAACAGGGTCACTGTGAGTCGGAATCGACAGCAGTGGGTTAGAGTAATCAAAACAGCACGCCAAACCTTACAGGTGAAAAGAAAATGCTGTTGGACTGCCATAAAAGTTTCAAAATGAGTTTGTTCTTTTACATTATAAAAATCTTACATGACTCATTACAGAAAAGCTGGAAAATAAACATTTTTCCATCTGCCACTCACCAAAACATTGTTAACTTCTTTTATATCTTTTTTTTTTCTATACAGATCATATGTGCTAGATTTTAAGACATTTCTTTGTGCCCCTTGCATTTCTAAAATTCTAAGAATAATGTCAAGAAACTCACCACTGGTTCTTCATCCTGAGCCAAAAAAAGTTATTAAATCAATGGTGGTCCACTTTACAGCTTGTTGGCCCCTTAGAATTGATGTATATAAAAGGTAGAAGGTGAGCTTGCTTCCAACAAGTCTGTTCCATCTTAACCTGCAGTGCTCTGCTTCACAGCCATCTGTGACACCGTCCTTGAAAATTGGAATGGAAAATGGTCCATGTAATAATTCGTGTCATAGGATAGATGATTTGCACTAAAGTTACTTATTTAGGTTTTATGCTTAGTGGACTAATAAGGGGGTGTTGAGGCTCTTTCAAGGCAGTGGTGAGGACTTAACTCATTTTTGTATCATTGCCTAGCACTAGCAGTTGAGATAAGATTGAAGGTAGAGTTTTGGAAGTAATCAGTGTAAGTGGATGAGTTGTAAGATGAAAAGTGATCCAGGAGTGGGTTTTGAGGAAAACTTGAAATACAAGTTCAGAAAGATTAGGGACCAGAGGAAGGGCCACCTTATTCTAGGCTGGGAAGCACAAGAATCTCCGCAGCATTTCTCCAGAGAGTCCGCAGCTAGGACTGACTGGCTCCCCTTTCTACCTGGCCTCTCATCTCATTTTCTCTAATTTTCAATTTTGTTGAAAATTCCAAAACGGAACTGGCAAGATGAGGTGAGGGTAGGGCATGTTTCTGCCTTCTCTCTTTCCCCCAAATAATCCTTGTAGTGCTGACTCCAGCATTGTTCGTCAGGACTTTATGTGAGTCGTTAGGAGGCTATAGGTGATAGATTCTTTTTCAGCTATGGCCCCCCTGTATTCTGGTCAGTCTGTCTCCTAGTTTAACATTGTTGCTTATGCTTAATGAAGGAAATGGGGGGCGGCATACCATATTAAATAGACTATAGAAATGGTCTCTAAGGAAATGTGATTTAAAATTAAATTCAGAGAACTAGGTGCCAGCCATTGAGGAGTGCTCAAGATGAGAGGACAGCAAGTTCTAAGGTCTTGAGGTTGACAAGTGCTTGGGATGTTTAGGAGCTGATAGAAGAAGACACGTGGCTGAAGCCCAGTGAACAAGGTGAATAGAGAAGTAGGCAGGAGCCTTTAGAGAAATGCAAGTCAAAACAACCATGAGATACCATAGCACCCCATCATTAATAGCAAAATTCAACAAGACAGAAAGTAACAAATGCTGGCGAGGACGTGGAGAGATTGGGACTCTTCATACACTGCTAAATGATGCAAAAACAAAAAAAAAAAATCAAACTTGTTGCTGTCAAGTAGGATCCGACTCATAGCGACCCCACCTTGGGTTTCCAAGGCAGTATCACTACGGAAGTAGATAGCCCAACCTTCCTTCTGAGGAGTGGCTGGTGGGTTTGAACCTCCAGCCTTGTGGTTAGCAGTCAAATGCTTTAGGCACTATGCTTCCAGAGCTCCCAAATGATACAACCACTGTGGAAATCAGTATGGCAATTCCTTAAAAAGCTGGAAATAGAAATACCATTTGATCCAGCAATCCTATTACTAGGTATATATCCTCAAAAAGTGAGAGGCAGGACATGAATAGATACATGCACACCCATGTTCATCCCAGGACTATTCACAATAGCAAAGAGATGGAAACGACCTAAATGCCTGTCAACTCTGGAATGGATAGACAATCTGGTACATACACACAATGGAATACTATACAACCCTGAAGAATAATGTAGAATCTGCAAAACAACATAATGTGGATGAATTTGGAAGACATTATGCTGAGTGAAATAAGTCAATTACAGAAGGACAAATACTGTATTAGTCCACTATTGTAAATAGTCAAGGAAATGTTTATACATGGAAGGAAACTTTGTTGATTATTAGGGATGGGGAGGGGAAAGGAGGGAAAATTCCTAGATAGGAATTCCCCCAATGGGGGTGGGGGATACGTGTGTGTGCGCGTGTGTGTGTGTACACACATAGAAACCAAAGTTTATCGGTGGTTACAAGGTGTAGGAGGGAAGGAGAAAGGAGAAGCTTTTGTTTGGGGGCATTGAGTTTATGCTAATGGTGTGGAATATTTTGGAAAAGGATAGCAATAATGGTGGCACAACATGGAAAATGTCATCGGTGTTCCTGAGCTGTAAATGTGGAATTTATGTTGGCAAATGTCTTGTACATGTTTTTTCCACAGTAAAAGTAAAAAAACAAAAGAGGTTAGGAGCCAGGTCATAAAGGCCCTGTGCCATGGTAAAGAGGCTGGGTTCTGTTCTTGGCACAATGGGAAGCCATTAAAGGATTTTAAGTAGTTGGCATTTTTTTTGTTGTTGTTGTTTGTTTTTTAAGCATGTTGATGACAGGACAGTGAGTGTTAGGTGGCAGTAGTGGAAGCAGAAAGACGTGGTATCAAGCTGTTGCACTAGTCAAGGAAAGGGATGTGGTGGCTGAGAAGCAATTTCAGAACCGGTGGGACTTGATGGATTGGATGTGAGGTAAAGTGGTGAGAGGAAGGGAGGACCAAAGACT